TCCTCACTGCTCCTGTTGACTACTGCTCCTCTTCCGTAAGCCGATTGTAGCATCCAGATCCCCCGCGGTGTTGTAAGCCTGTGGTTTTGCGCTACCGCTGCTAATGCTACTGTCACTGCTGCTGCTACCACTAAAGTATGCCCTCATGTGCATTTTTTTAATGTTTTCCTCCATTGGTAGTATGGAAAATAGCCGGAAACGCTTAAATGGGCAAGGAGGGTAGTTCCAAGGTGTGTATATGTATGTGTGTTTTTTTTGTCTGCGTTTGTGTGTTTGTCTGTATGTGTGTGTGTTTGTCTATATGTGTGTGTGTTTGTCTGTATGTGCGTGTTTATCTATATGTGTTTGTCTGTATGTGTGTGTGTTTGTCTATATGTGTGTGTGTTTGTCTATATGTGTGTGTGTTTGTCTGTATGTGTGTTTGTTTGTATGTGTTTGTCTGTATGTCTGTGTGTTTGTCTGTATGTTCCCATGTGTGTGTATGTGTTTGTCTGTACGTGTGTTTTCATGTATGTTTGTGTATGTAAATCATACATATGACCATGTATGCATGTGTGTATGCGCATTCATGTATGTATGTATATGTTTTGAAGGGGCATGTGCCTACGTCCACCTGTTGCCGTCTGCTGCATTCCTTCATCCATTCCTGCCCGGGCATCAGCACCCGCCCATCTGCTTTCAATCCAGAAAGTAGCAGCAGCAGTGGGAGCAGTATTACTACAAATGCCGATAGTGGCAGTAGCAGCAAGTGCCAGCTGTCCTCGTCCATCAGTCGCCTTCCATTTTGCCCTCATCCCGAGCGAGATTGCCTCCTCCTCCATAAAGAATCACAGATGCTGATTTTTTCTTCCTGCGCCTCGTCGCTATTGATGTTTTTGAAGTTGCGCGCGACCGCGATGTTTGAGATTCTCCAGGAAGAGGAGAAGATCATCACGCCGAAAATCGAGAAGTAGCTGCGGCAAAAAGCAACAGCAACGATCAGCAGCAGAACAGCTCCAGAAATATACGGGTTTTCGCAGAGTAGTGCCTTTGTAGACAGACATTCCCGAAACAAAAATACATCCACTCGCCTTTAGAAACATACACACACACGCATACAGACACCCACAAATATACACACATACACAGACAAACCAGTAAAATGCTTCATTCCCTGTGTCGCAGAATATTGCCCGTGCATGTAATCGGTGAGTGATTTTTGTATCTACTTTCTCTGAAAACTTGGGTCAGCAGCTGCAGTTTGTGGTATGTGTGTGTGTAGGGGTGGGTGGGTGTGGGTGGGTATGAGTGGGTGTGTGTATGGGTGGGTGTGTGAGTGGGTGTGGGTGTATGAGTGGGTGTGGGTGTATGAGTGGGTGTGGGTGTATGGGTAGGTGTGGGTGTATGGGTAGGTGTGGGTGTATGGGTAGGTGTGGGTGTGTGCGTGGCTGATAATTTTTTTAGCTTCTCTGAGCACAGCTGCATTATCAAGCGGTCAATTTACCGTCCATAACTATGCTAGGTTGTCCAGAACTTGTTCAGAATTTTTGACACATTTCGGAGTTTACAGCTGTTCTAGCCATTCACTTAACGTTACTCACATTTGGGGCCATAACTGCACTTGCTTTTCGTATGTCTCATTGCCCCCCTCCTTCTTTTTTCCCCGTTTTCTTCCTCCCCTCCCCTCCCCGTCCCCTCCCCTGTCCGTACCATGGTCCAAGGGTTGAAATGTCCTCTCGTGATACTCTTCATTCACTTAGGCGTTTTTTGCAAATTAAATTTGGTGCGTCTGTTGGATAACAGAAGTTTGTAGGGCAGATATTTAATCGGTCTTTTATAAGGGGATCGGCTGAAGTGGGCAGTGAGAGCAGGAGGGAGGGAGGGATGCTTGAGCAACAGAGCAGCGCAATCTCTTGAGAGCATTGCCGACAAGCGTAGTATTGAGAAAAAAGAAGATGAATCGGTGACAGGTGTCCGGAGGGGCTGTTGCACCTGGTGTCTGCTTGCATTTAATAAATCCAGAGACGGGGGATATATGTGTTGAGAGATGTCCGCTTTTCATGTTCCTGTGCAACACCTTTCGGTGCCATTCAAGGCTGGGGCGATCGTTTTCTTTGCCCTTAATAAGAATAATTTTCTTCTCGGACTCGTATCTTTTTTATTGCTCGGCTTCGTTTCTTTTCGGCATATTGTGATGTACGATGCACTAAACTTCCTTTGTGCTAGTACCGTCCACTTCGCATTAATACGGTTTTCTGTTAAACTTTTCCCGCATTCCGACGTTTCTTGCCTTTTTACTTATCTAAAGCAACGGCATTTAGCACTCTCTCGGATAACACTGGGACAGAGAACCGGAGGGTCTCTCTGCATGGTGATTTTGAATTTGCAACTTTTAACGGACCATTTTGAATAAAAACTGCTATGAATCTTTCCCTTAGTCGCACTGGGGAGGAAGGGTGTTTCTTGCAGAAACAACTTCAGGCTATTTTAGAAAACTCATACTCCTTTTTCCACTGAAAATAATGCTCATTAGCATGTAATTCTTGCCCGGGAACCCTTTTGAAAATCTTTTCACTGCCTCGGGGTGTAATGTCCGTAGAGTTTGAGAAATTGAGTTTTTAGGAAACTTATTGAAGTTTTTTTTCCATGGGTATCGCGGAGAAATGAAGTGGGTTTCTCTCTCTGTCTTTCTCTCGTGAACGATCCACCGCTGGGTGTTGAGCATGCCTGAGTTTGGAAGTTGTTTTTTTTGGTGTGGTTCTGAAGGAGGAGCATAATTATGGTGAGGAAGAGGAAGCCGATGAGGGATGGGAGGGGTTGTGGGGGTGCGCGTTTGCTGTGTTGTGACATGATAGCGCAGCTGATTAGCGATCAGAAGGAGTGCCATCGCAAAAGTCGTTCGGCAAGTTTGTTCGTCAAGAAATGTGCTCCTTTTCTATTACATTTTACATTTGTTTTTATTGTTGGCCTATAGGCGGATCCAGGAAAAGGGGGTGGAGGCAAGGATCCCAACGACACAGCCACCAATGCTGCAAAAGCCCGGGTCTGTTCATAAATAAAACTAAAATAACTCTAAGTAGGATTAGTGTTACAACTGTATTCCTATTTTTTGTATAAATCCAAGGTGGGAGGGGTCTTTCGCCCACCCTCGCCGCTTTTCCTCCCTCTCTCCCTTCCCTCTCCCCCCCACACCGAAGAGTTGGCCCTAACTCGGCCTATGTGTTGGCCCGCTGAGATCGGTGCAGTGGAGGACGTAAGCCGAGAAATCCCTTGAGATAGACTACGTAATTAGTCCCCGTGCTAGCATTACTGAATTTTTCCTCGCTTTTCCCCTTGCTGTTGGGTAGAACATGTGTTCGGTGCCTCGTTCCAGAGTGGGAGAGGGAACCAATGGACCTAGGCCCTGTGGCCCTCATACTTTTTCGTCTGCTCAGCCATTTTCTTCGGTCCGAATTCTCGCTCTTCACTACTATCATCCAGTCTTTTTTCGTTTTTCCCTGCGGCATCTGCCCCCTTTCGCCTGTATTTCTTCGCTTCCTCCTCGGCCAGCAACTGTGTGCTCTCTAACCCAATTTCCCTCATTTTCCCACGACTGATTCTGGCATCCGGTCAGTTGGGGCACGGGCGGAAGCACCGGCCCTCAGTGCTTCCGTTAGCTTGCGATGTGTGTGAACTGCTGGAAAGCTGGCCGTGGCCGTCGTAGTACTAGTGGAGCGGCTGTTGAGGAATTTTCCTCTTTTTCTTTTCGTTGAAGAGGGACAGAATTCGCCCCTCTCCCGTTTTCTTAATTGCTTAGCGCGAAATTCGCATCTTTGGGCCTCGTCTTCCCCTCTCTCTCTCTTTTGCTCATAATCCCTCGCAACTTCCCTCTCCTGGCGACCCCAAGTTGAGAGTGCATATGCTGCGCCTCTCCTTCCATCATCTTTTTCTTCTCGGCTTGTCCACTTCCCACACATTTTTAGCCGCCTCATTCGA